TAGAGAAAAATGGACACAAAATTGAGCCAATTCTTGGGAATTATTACCAATTTGAGGGACTTGTGGAATTGGAGAGTGATTTATAAGAGATAACAAGAATTACATTACTGGAAAAGTTTAGATATTTTCAAGATTATTTTAGGGAAATATAGAAAATAAATATGATGGAATTCTAGCATGATTCAAATTGAACTAAAAAAAAGGCGAAGATATCCTGTGAAGAGTTCCAAGTAAATTCAGACTAACGAAAAATTCGTGATCTGGGACGCAGGAAAAATATAAATTCCGGGATTTAGAATCATTGCAAGATCCTGAGACTTCAAAAATGAAAGTATCAGACTTTCATTTTAGTAATATAATAAAATTATTCTTTGGCATAATGGTCATGCGAATAGTGGAGTTACCCGTAGTTTAGGTAAACTGTGTGTGAGTTCCACGATGTTAGGCTTTGATTCCCACTTCAGCCCGGTGAATTTTGCTTCAAAATATAATTGCCTACTGGTCTGCTGGGTGTGCTGTATAATGTCAAGAATTAAACTGTAAATCTGATCAACCTCAGAGTAATATTATAATTAGGTATTTAGAACTAATACCCTCCCCTTGGCTAGTTTTTGCACCTTGCTGTTGGTGGGCGGGCTTAATTTCATGCTAGTGGAGTGTTGGAGACGGTGGGTTTATGGTCGGCGTTGCTGGCTCATGCCGCGATAGAATGGCGTCATGGGCAGGCAATGGAGATTACTGAGCTTCCCCTCTCTGATAAACCACTGCATGAGAGAACCAAAGATCTAGTCTAGCAGTGATAGTATCACACTTGTTACTCCTTTAATTGAGAGCCGCGTCGTAGTATGCTTACATATAGGCACTGACGTTGGGTGTGATACTGGCGGGTTTTGCCGCAAATCACTCTTATTTTATTTATTTTTACGCAGATAGATTCATTTGGGTTTGCAAGGGAATTATACTATTGAAATATTTCAGAAAGTGCCCAACGGTGCTCCTTCTATTTGCGTGACAAGCTTTCATTGTTGTTTTCATTGAAGTATTACTCAGGAAACAATGTTAAACATCATTTTTGTACATGGTATTGTCACTAATCTTGTATGTGCTTCATTTTGATTTGGGATAAGTGTTTGAACTATGGCTCGGGATTTCCACTGTGGCGTGCTTCTATTGTGACATACCCATACGTATTTTTGTGGTGCGACATAGTGGAAAGGTGTGAGCATAGTTGGAGCATTTACCCTATACAATATACAATTTAAAATTAGCTTGGAAACTAACTTCAAAGTGAAGCATTTTAGTCACTTGAAGGTGTCACCTGGGACGAACAAAGATATAATAAATATATGTCAAAGCCAGAAGTACTTGAAACACGTTAAATTTTAGTTTAAAAGCATGGGTTATGATTGTGTAGGTAGATTAGGGATTTCAGTTATTTATTAAATAAACTTCAATTAGAGAATTCAGAAAGTTAATTAAAATGAGAGATAGGACGCGGGGGGTCCGCTTAGGGAGGCGACTAGCCTATGAAGTTGTATAATAAATCTTCATATTTAGTGTATTTGTTAATTACAGACAATGTCAATAGCGAAAGTCATATCTTCAACCAGGCGCTTACGAACAAGTGAAGTTTTAGGAAAGATGTGTTAAATATGTTGATAGGTTTGAAATAAGAATTAGGATTGTTGTGCTTTAGTTTTCGGTAAGGTATGATGTGTCAACAAAGCCCGTTTGAGCAAATTTTCAAACATCAAATTGATTGAGTGATTTATTGAAAGACATTGCGTTGCGAAAATTGACAACTCATACATCTAACATAGTAGTAGTAGCAGTGTCGCATAATCTTATCACAATTGCTGCAAATAGTGCTGGAGGGGCCGGCAGGGCTGAATACGGATCAAAACTAACATAACTACTAACACTAAAATGATCCCGGAACTAACACTTATCCATTGCACTTTTAGTTATATATCAGTTTTATTTTTCTACTGAGTCATCTATGCTTCTTTCTATTGTTTGGATCAAGTACAACTAATACTAATCTGCCTTTATGTATGTTTTACTCCCTTTTAACCCATTATCTTTATGAATGGCGAATCATATGACGTGAGACACGTACAAGCTGGAACTCAAAGAATTACTTCGAACAGGATGTCAAACAAATTCAGGACCAATCCAAATGAGACCAGAAACCAACAAGGCATCGGGGAGTTATATATTCTGGGAGAGGTATTTGATAAATAATCAAAAAGTGGTAAGTTAAACTCAGAGCCAAGGATCATGAGAGGTAATTGTCAATAATTCATTAATTAGTAGAAATCTCGATAACTTTTTCAAGGGAGCGTATCTGCTTTTGTAGGCGGTGCGTTTGGTCGTCGATTTGGCTTTACTGGTGGCTCGCCCACGCGGGCTGGCACTATCATCAGATAGGGGAAATTTTCATCTACCTGCTGGTGGTGTTGATAAGCGTGTGCGAGCTGCCGGTTGCGCCGGATCGACGATCGGATGCATTGTTTGCAGGAGCTGGTGCTTCCCTTTGAAAAAGTAATCGAGAAATAACCATATTATCCTGTAATTGATATTACTATTTTTATATATCAATGAAATTAGTCATGACAGAGTAACAGATGGGGAAGGACAATAGACACAAGTTGACACAATAAACAAGACAAGTGGGGGTTAATACACAAGACAAAATGACAAAATAAGTGACGACAGAAGACAAGACTGGGACAAAAATCAACCTTAAAAAAAAAGAATGCGCAATTATATTATCAAAACTATTTGGAGCAGCACAAAACCAACAGTGACCAAACGGGCACCATAGCCTAGGAACGTCTGTGTGTTGATTTAAAATAGAGGCTCATAGAAGCAAAATTTATCATTAAAAGGGGTCCAGTGTAGAGTTTAAGCAAGTGCTGCCACTGGATCACTACAAAAAAAAAAAAAAAAAAATTAGGTATTTAGAACTAATAAAATCTTTAAATTCTGGTACTGCATCAACTATTAGTTCAAAAAAATCCATCCCATCAAATTTCCTTGATTCTTTGCATCTCATTCTTTTTAAAAAAAGTTACAGTTTAAAAAACATTTCTAACCATATTTTCTGCTGTTTTTTTACCCACATTTAACTAAATTTTTGAAATGCTGCGTAATGGATATTTGAACTTTTTGGGCACACCGTGTCAATACTTTTCAACTTTTGGATGATTTTAGCAATGCTAACAAGTTATTTGCTTTATTGAATTTATTTAAACATGTAATTTATAACTATTCTAGTACTTTAAATAAATTCCAGATTATCATACGGACCTATTTTACGGGAGATTCGCACATCACTTTGATTTCAATAGCATTATGTTGAAAAGAAGATTTTTTTGGAGCCTGATCCAGATTTTTTTTTGAAAATGACCTGGCAATGCTGGTTGTGACACGGCGTATTTAATACAAAAAAAAACGAAGGTTTGCAAAAATATGAACTTATTTCTTCTATTATCAGTACCGCTGCAGGCCCACTGTAATCTGGCATATTTTAATAGTTTCATAGGAAGTTTTAAAATAGCAGTTTTGTAATGAAGATGCTAAAATTTGCTAAACAAAATCGATGGAAAATTTCCAATATATTTTGTTTAAAATTTGAATCCAATTTTTTCCGGCATTATTTTTTTCCAACTGGCCCATAGTACACGACGTCGGCTCTATTCGTGCGCCCTTCTTCGCGATCTCACTTTCAGTCAACTCAGCATCAACCAGCGCTGCTGCAGTAGACTGGCCCACACATTAAAATGGGGGAAATTTTTCCTCATTTTTTTCAACGGGTCAACCCCTAGATTTGTGCCATTGAGAAAACTACTCTCTGAAAGTTTCAGCTCATTCGGATGTAACACGAGCTGGCGCTTTTGATTTAAAATTTATATGGGGATATTGGTTGAATTGTATGGAGAAATAACATTCCTTCACTCTTTCGTGCATAGAACTGGCTCAGAAAACTCGATTAAGCTCAGAATTTCAGCACACGTAGCTTAAACTATAAAGAACAAATTTACATAAGACAGCATCACGATTCATGTTAGTATTCTGGATATAATAATCAATTATGTGCATTCTGCTCGTATATTGCAACAAAATACATGCAGCATATATATGCAACGTATCAACAGGATTACCATTAAAAATAAAAGTTCTTATTTTCCACAGGCCAGGCTCGTGTCTTTTGATGCGATCCGCTCTCTGAATGTTTCAGTGGTTTTTTGACCATGGCGCTTTTAGTTTAATGTTCATATTGGAGATTTGGTTGAAATTTTAAAATACAAAATGCTCATACACATTCAAAATCGAATATCTCAATAAATCTAACTGGATTCATGATGCAATATTCAGCAAAGTTGTTACTCATTAACTTAACTACAAGTTTTGAAAATCTTAATCAAATCGAGAATAAAAAAAACTTCAAAAAATCCCCATACAAAATGCAAACTGAAAGCGCCAGCTCATCCTACAACCAAATGAGCTGAAACTTGCAGATAATGGTTTTCTCACCTAAAGGCACAAATCTAGGGGATGGCTCGTGGAAAATTAGAACTTTTATTTGTGTGGACCAGTCTACTGCTGCAGCGAACACCAAACCAAACACCATACACACGACGACGAGGAAGCTCAACGGAATCGTCTCGTCGTTTGAGTTCAGTTCGTGTCCCACCGCCAGCGTCGTCGGTCGCGTTTTTCAGTCGTGCGTCGTTGCCGAGTAAAATACACACGAAGCTCAGCGCGTGTCTCGTTTGCCGATTGAAAGGTGTCTTTTGAGCAGCAAAATTAAAAAAAAAAACTGTTACAGCGATGCATCCACCAACGCACGGCCAGGTGTTAAACCCACATACTCTCTCTCTCTCTCTATCTCGCTTGATTGGCTGTCCAAAATGCTCTACCTACTAACCAATCAAGCTTTAAGTCGTAGAAATTCAAAATACTAATTTACATATTTTTTCTACCTCTCTTGCAGTTTTATGCATGTCCATGCATCCATTGAGATAGTGCGCGGGTGTAGCGGACCCCTAGTGCGAGTGAATATTAGGAAATGTGTGCTTCTATCACGTACTCTTAGAATGGACCTTTGAAGAAGAAGGCGGACGAGGAAGCGAATCCAGGTTGTTTGCTGGAAAGGTATGACCGCACGCCGCCCTTGGCGATGTTTGGATGTGATGGAATGAGAGAAGACCGAAAAATGCCTTTAAAGTGCGCTGAAATGTACGAAAAAAAAAGATGAATGAATAATAACAAACACTGAAGACGAAGCAAAAGTAGCAGGGAAAATAGTCAGGAAAAAAAGAAGTTTGATCAAAGCTAACATCCTGTGCTGGGCTGTGTATATGTTGAACCCACGAGTGAGTGACTCTCTCATTGTGCAACAGTATCACGGGCGGATGTGTGAGTGCTAGCCTAGATATGTGTTGGTGTTGTTAGAAAATTTCTGAATCAAACAGCTCAAAAAGTGTGCTGGAACGTGCGCCGTGAAGACGAAGAAGAAAGGCTACCGAGATTTTTTTTATGAATAAACTTCAGTGAGTGATCTGCGCTGGTGTTAGTGTACCATTCGATTGATTCATGTAGCGAGGTGCTCATACGCATACAGTGTCAGTCATTCGGAGAAGCAGCAGCAGCAGCAGTTTTGTGTACACACATTCGCAGTACTAGTTATGGATTCAATATGGCTGACGACACACGCAAAGTCCGTGTTGAGGAACAATTAAAGATAAAAATAGGTAAGTTGTGCTACATTTCCACCCTGCAATCGCATTCGTAATCGGCTGGAAAAACAGTGTCAAGTGAGTGAACGGTAGTGTAAACGGTGCCCGTGCTAGTGCAAAATGGAAAAATCGCCTCCAAAAAGTCGGAACAATACCGAGATTTTCTCCACCGAAAGGTCTTTCCTCCAGCTTCTCAATGGCAGCAGAGATCCCTGGAACCCAAAAAAAAAAAGTATCCACCCATACAAGTGTAAAGAGCTGAAGAAATATCTTCCAGTCAGTGATGACTGGAGTTGGTATTGGTGTAATTGTATGTCAACAGAGCTACTGAGCAGCGAATGGATTTACCCAAAATATCTGTCAATCGCCTTCGTCTAGAATTATTATGAATTACTCAATGGGCGACGACGAGAAGAGACAAAAACATACGGCACTAGCACCAACACAAGCACGGGGGATGAGAAGAGAAGAGACAAAAAAGCGTACGGCAGGAAGCTGAAACAGGTGGTAAAAAATCCTGATTTTCTGGCTGAGCTCCTCGTGGGAAACTGCCGATCCATCGCCGGAGCAGCTGCCCCGACAGGAAGTGTACTGCTGGGCCCGTTTCCTGGCGGGGTTTCGGTCTCTATCTCGCTCTCTGTCTCTGTCAGAGCGTATGTGTTGGAGTGTGACCTAGAAGCTTCCAACCGTCTGCAGCAGCCCTGCTAGGCGAATGCTTGATGTTGTGGTGCAAATTTATTGATCTGTGCTGTCGGATGGTTCATATCAATGTTATTGAACTGCCTAGGGAGTCTCGAGCGGGAGATAACTTTGGTTGTAAAAAATAATATCAAAGCAGCGGTTGGGGAGGACAAACGTGTTTTAAGCAATAAGAACAATAACACTAGTTTACAACATATTTGAACTTTGAACGTTGATGGTCATTTCCCATGTAAAATCGTGCGCTGAATCCAAAATATGAAATTTCACTCAAAAAAAAGTTTGCTTACTAAAATACAAATATCACCGGCTGTAATGAAGCTATATCAATTATATGATTGCCATTTTTGGACTCAGCGCACGATTTTGCATAAGAATTATAGGTCAAACATTGAAGCTCATTTTTTTTTACTTTCATTTGTAAACTATCGTAGAGAATGAGAGTGTCGCAAAAATGAGTGAAATCAAGTTTTGCATCAGATTTTGTGATGGAAAGTTGCAATCCAATTGTGTGGTGTTGGTTCATTTGGACAAAGTTCTTCTGGTAGACAATTCAAGGTGAAATGGTCGTATGTTCAAAATGTAAACAAACCAAAAAGTGTTGTTTAAAATATGAGAACCTCTTTCCATTCCTATTTTAAAGGCTTTTAAAAGCTCTTGTGACGGTTTTTTCTTAATAAAGTTAATAATTATAGTGTTTCTTATCCAAACATTACATATATTTTTTAGAGAGAATTTAAATTAAATTGTGTGGTATGCGCTTTAATGTCTTCTTATAAGGCTTTTAAGTTTGCAACGTTAAATATCGGCCTATTGGTAATTCTCGTAATAGTTGACTTCAATTTTGATTCAGATCTACTGAAACTACACTGTTCGTCCTCAAAATAGTCACTTCGAAAGTCAATCCTTTGGTAAATCGCTCAATTTAAAACCTTGCAACCAAAATGATTGGTTCTGATAAGGGCCGTTTGATTGGAAGTATCCTATACTTCATTGCTTGTTATCGCAGCAGCAATGTCCAAGCGCTCGATAACGACAGGAATATCGTTAACTTCACACACTCGATAACGTTCAAAATGGAACTGCAGCAATGCAGGAAGAAGGTGTCTGGCACTCATATGCCTTTCAAGTAAAGAGCAATGATTGTGTTTGCAAACAGAAAAATGCGTCGCTTAGAAAACTAATCCATAGTCATACATAATTTCACATTTTACTCTTGAACTGAACTGAACAAGGAGACGAACCAGCCTCCGGCTGTAAGTCTCGATAGTAAAAAAAGCTAAACTTAACTGATCATGAACCGTGTTGAAAGGAATCGACGACACATATCCACTTTAAGTTCGAAGAATAGTTAATATTACGATTTTGATAACAACACTTTTTTCTTTTGTAATTTCACAACGAAAATGATGCTCTCCAGCCGTATTAAAAATGTAATGTTAAATTCACTGGATGTTGGACGACACTTCTTGATTATGATGTCTGTGCTAGGGAAAAAATGGTTCGACGAGCGATAGAACATTTACTGTGAGACAAGCGTCATTGAAATCCGGAATAACCCAATAGCTAAAATCGATTTTACTCTCGCTTTGACCGTTGAACATAGTGTCGGAAATAGGGCGCTGTATAGCGATTACAGCGCACTACTTCCCATACTCTGTTCAACTTACAGAACGAAAGTAAAATCCATTGTCGCTGGTGGTTTATTCCGGTTTTCAACTGTACCGATATTAGGGTTAACTACCCCATTTCCGGCCTATGAAGCACAACCCGCACTTAGTCTTTCTTAATCTAGCGCAGTTTAGCACCAAACGAAATGTTATTATTACTGATGGTAGGGCTAGTAGCGAGTCAGTTTTTAGTGACTTGGTCACTTTTTTTCAAGCCAATCACTAAAAAGTTTCTTTTTTTTTAAGGCCAAGTCACTAAAGTCACTTTTTCATGTAATCAGTCACTATTTTCAACTTTTTTTAGCGTGAATTTATTTCAAGATTGAGTATTCTTTGCGTTGTGACGTTTAATCGTATTTCTCTATCTACATAAAATTATCTTACTTTTCCAGGTTTTTCCAGTGTTTTAACGGATAAATTTCAGGTTTATAATAAAAAAGCTAAATTTTTAAATGCGTAGATCAAAAACAACAGCAATTTACCCAAACGTTTTTAAGACATGTCAATCGGTTTTAAAGAAACAGCTTTACAATCAAATCCATTGAATGTTGAAGTTTATCACTTATTTAATTTCTCACATAATAAAGTTAAAAAAAAAAACTTTTCAATTTGAGTATTTCCAAGATCTAAAATTATAAAATATCTTGAAGTTTCGTATTCCATGTACAAGTTCAAGACATTGAAAATTTTCAAAGCGCCAGAATAAAAAAATAAATAGTTCGTAGGAACTTTGGCGAAGTTCTGAGTAATGAAAAGAAAAACTGAGAATTTCAGTGAAGCTCCATAAAAAAACTGCGGTTCTTTTAGCATCCGAAAGCTTGCGGGAACTTTTATGCAGTTCCTAGAATGTAAGGGAACTTCACAGGAGAAACATAGAACACATGAGGGGTATTGTGCATTTTTTTTTTCAGAAAAGCTATATCTAGAGATTTTTGGGGAATTTCAGACCTTAAGAGCAGTTTCCGTAGCTTTAGTCCAGACGTTTGGAGCAGTTTAAATATCTATATTTTTTATATTTTTATTAAGGAGACTTTCAGCCCTTGTCTCCAAATGTCTATAATCGTAAATTTAGAGAAAAATCATGTGCTGAAAAAACATCGAGAACCCTTAAGATTGTCCGAGAATTTCAGGGAAGTACAGAATCCTTCAGAGAATTTAAGAAAACTTCTGAAATATTTCAGAAACTTCAAAGAAGTCCAGAGAATTTCAGGAAAATTTAAAGGGTTTTACGGGAATTCCATTTATTGCCGAGCAGCAGAACCGAGATCTTCAATAGAATTGAAAGCTTTAGTGAAGCTTCGAGAACATCACGACAGATTATAGAATCAAAGGGCAGTTCAAACAATTTCAAGGAAATTGTAGAAACCTTAAAGATGTTGCGAGAAACTCAGAGAATTCAGAAGCGTCAGGGAATTATGAATATACAGTGTATCGCAAAATTGAGCGTACACCCTAGTGGAACATTTTTTGAAACATTCTGAATGGATTATTTTTTTCAATCTTCACTGGTGGTTGAATAGATGTTTATTGATTTATCGTTTTAGTTTTGGACTTCATTGGAAGAACCTGTATGAAGTTAAATTTATTTTAGTGAAACGCACGATTTTCAACTTTTTACCTAGTGGACGAATTTTAATAAAATTAGTGGAATATGAATGATCTTTTTTATGACTAAAAGTGAGAAAAATTTCAAAAAGTTTAGCTCATTATATTTCAAGATATTAAGGTTTTTCAAGGAAAAGGATTTTTTTTTCAAATAGCTCTTACTTTAAATAAACGCAACCAAATAAGCCCAATCAATGATTGATAAATTAATGATGATTTAGCAGCCAGAAATTCAGATCGTAAAACGTATCTCTTTAGATTGTGCTTTTAAAGCTGTTTTTCTGAAAGTTAAGGACATCTGTACACTCAATTTTGAGATACACTTGCTGGATTATTAAAAAAAAAAAATTGAACTTCAGGTAACCACTGATGAGTTCAGGGAAAATTAGGGACCGTTTATAATGGTTATAATACTTATAGGAAATTGTCGAAACTTCAAGGCAAATAATTTAATTTCAGTAAAGTTGCGGTTTCTTAAAAAATACTGAAAATTCAGGGCAATCTAGAGAACTTTAAGGAAATTCAATAATCTTTTGGGTAGTCTAGACTATTGAAGAAGTTTTAAATAAGTGTCGATAATTTAAGGGAAGCTTCATGAACTTCAATGAAAATTATAGAACTATATTAATTATTTCGTTCTAATTCCATGAAAATTGCGGTAGCACAAAAGTTCCAGAAATTTAGAAGAACTTCGAAAACTTCACAGAAGGGCAGCGGTCTTCACAAACATTTCGAGAACTTCATAGAAATCTATGGAGCTTAAGGAGAGATCCGCGAAATTCAGGATTTTGTATGAACATTGGGGAGGCCAGTTCCTTTAGTTTCAGAAAATTAGTGGGAAGTTTAAAGAAGTTCCCAGATCTTGAGATAACTTCAGAGACGTTAAAAAGTTAATTGAGGTCTTCGCATACGTTCAGAAGCTCACTGAAGCTTAAACATTTTTAGGGCGGTTCAATTAAATTCAGCGCAGTACAACAAGATTGATGAGAACTGCTAAAACTTTAGAGAAGTTTTGAAAATTTCAGAAAAGAACAAAGAATC